CCAAGAGGAAGACATGACAATCATAAATATATATAAATATATATGCACCAAGTATGAATGCCCCCAACTATACAAAACAAATATTATTGGACATGAAAAACCAAATAAGCACTAGTACAATTGTCGTGGGGGACCTCAATACCCCACTGTCACAAATAGACAGATCATCCAGACAAAAAATCAACAATGAAATTCTAGAACTGAACCAAGCTTTTGAACAAATGGACTTAATAGATGTCTACAGAGGGTTCCACACCACAAGATCAGAATATACATTCTTTTGGGCTGCGAACAGGTCATTCTCCAAAATAGACCACATGCTAGCTCATAAGGCATGTTTAAGTAAATGCAAAGAATTGAAGTTATCCCCTGTATATAATGAGTCCATAGTGCAATAAAATTGAAGATCAATAGCATAAGAAACTGCCAAACCCCAACAAACACATGGAAACTGAATAACACCCTCTTGAACAACCAATGGGTCACAGAGGAAGTTAAAGAAGAAATTAGACAGTTTCTACAAGTACATGATGAGGCCAGTACAACATACAGGCATCTATGCGACACAATGAAAGCAGTTCCATGAGGGAGATTCATAGCAGTGAATGCCCATATTAAGAAAACAGAGAGAGCTCCAATTATCAAACTAATGCCAAAACTCAAGCTCCTAGAAAAAGAAGAGCATGACAAACCCAAAGCTCGTACAAAAGAGGAAATTATGAAGATCAGAGCAGAGATCAATGCAATAGAGACTAAGAGAACGATACCAAAAAAAAAAAAACAAAAAACATGAATCGAAGAGTTGGTTTTTTGAAAGAATGAATAAAATCGATAAACCCTTAGCCAACCTTATCAAAAAAAAGGAAAGAAAAAGCTCAAATCCGTGCAACCAAGAATGAAAAAGGTGAAGTCACAACAGACCCAGCAGAAATCCAAAGCACCATCAATACCTACTTCGAGAACCTGTACTCTAATAAAATGGAAAACACGGAAGAAATGGACAGATTCCTAGTTACATATGAATTGCCAAAGTTAAACGAAGAAGATATAGAAATTCTAAACACCCCAATTACAATCACTGAAATTGAAAACGTAATTAAAAATTTACCAACAAAGAAATGCCCAGGTCCTGATGGGTTCACTGCTGAATTCTACAAGACAGTTAGAGAAGAACTATCATGATTACCCTTTAAACTCTTCAATGAAATTGAAAGGGAAGCAATACTTCCAAATTCATTCCTGGAAGTATGTGTTACTTTGATTCCAAAACCGGGGAAAGACCCAACCCAAAAAGAGTACTACAGGGCAATCTCCCTAATGCACATAGACGCAAAAATCCTCGGCGAGATACTGGCAAACAGAATACATAGGGTCATCAAGAAGACCACACACCCTGACCATGTTGGATTTATCCCACCGATGCAAGTATGGTTCAACATATGTAAATCAATAAATGTAATACACTATACTAACTGAGACAAGGACAAGAGCCATATGATCATATCAATAGATGCAGAAAAAGCATTCGACAAAATCCAACACCCATTCATGATAAAAACCCTACAGAAAATTGGAATAGAAGGTCTTTATCTCAACCTGACTAAGGCTATCTATGAAAAACCAAGAGCCAACATCATACTAAACGGTCAAAAACTGAAAACTTTCACGCTAAAATCAGGAACAAGGCAAGGATGCCCAGTACCACCACTCCTATTCAGTATAGTTCTGGGAACATTAGCCACAGCAACTACAAAAGAGAAAGAAATAAAAGGAATAAAGACAGGAAAGGAAGAAGTTAAACAGGCATTATTTGCTGACAATATGTTACGCTGCATAGAAGACCCAAAAAACTCTTCCAATAGACTTCTAGACTTAGTTGACAGATTCAGTAGAGTTGCTGGATACAAGGTCAACACTCAAAAAACAATAGCCTTCTTGTATACAAATAACAGACTCACTGAGAGAGAAATTAGGGAAACAATTCCTTTCACAATAGCATCCAAAAAATGAAATATCTAGGAAGCAATCTAACAAAGGAAGCAAAAGACCTCTACACTGAAAACTACAGCACTCTGAAAAAAGAGATCAAAGAAGATATAAGAACGTGGAAAGACATCCCTTGTTCCTGGGTAGGAAGAACCAATGTAGTGAAAATGGCCATATTTCCAAAACTGCTATATAGTTTTAATGCAATCCTGATGGAAATCCCAACAATATATTTCACAGAGCTAGAGAAAACAATCCAAAAATTCATTTGGACCCAGAAGAGACCTAGAATAGCAGAAGCAATTCTAGGCAACTGAGACATGGCAGAGGGTATCACAAGCCCCAACTTGAAACTATACTACAAAGCTACTGTGATAAAAACAGCATGGTACTGGCAAAGAAACAGACCTGAGGA